AGCCCCATCAACCAGGACCAGACCCACGTGACGGAGACCCTTGAGACCTAGCTATATGGTACAGAATAATTAATTAACATGGGGTCCACACTGGTTCCCGGAGGGACCTGCTCTATCAGTTGGAGATGGATGGCAAAGTCTAGCTGTACTAGTAGGATGGAAACACACAAGCTCAACAGTGTTCCCTTCAAAATATTGCATCCTGAGCAGTTGTATGTATTGTGGTACCAGGAGGCAACTGTACATATCAAGAGCAAAAGGACCTATGTGCACTGGCGAGTTGGCCCTGCTCACATGTAACATGTGGTTGTATGCTTCTCCTAGCAGCTCTGCCACTCTAGGTGAGGATCTATTTTGGTTATGAAGAAATCTAGAGCTGAACATACTACCAGATTTGGAAGCTAATTGGCAGTGTTTTGGCTGATGCTTTTCTATAATTGTGTCTGTTTAAACACAAAGTTCAAAAACTGGATACACAAGAGCACAATTTGTAATAAAAATGTGCAAAGCTCTTTTTTGCTTGCAATTCTTTCTCAATAACCCTATGGGTTAATATGCTGAAAGGCTGCTTGGCACTTGCATGCACTTACACACTGAAGTATGTTGGGTGTTGGCAGCACATAAAATAGAAACTCAAACAACCCAGCAGCTAACCTGTGTACATGTAGCACACCTTAACCCTGTGAGGCGTTGTCACTCAATTCAGCCAATACAGTTGTTTTTGCTTAGTGTTCAGACAGGGAAAACATTTGTTGAAGGTAGCAGCGCAGAAGTAGAAGCAACTACATACAGTAGATGGATTAACATTCTCTTGGCTGCACCAAATTTCGATTTGATTGGGTGGAAACACTATTTTGACACAAACAGAAGCCTGTATGCGCAGGCCTTAAAGGTAATGTCAAATGACATATTGTGATCAGCCAAAGAGATTAATGTACTTAAAATACTCTTATATGCTTGCATAATCCTTTGTCTCAAAGCCTTTTGGCATCACTTCTGCCCTAAATAGGAAAACTCTGGTCACAAAAGCATTCTTATTTAAGACCATTCATTAGTGGAAACTGTACACAGACTGGCTTAGTGATGGATAAGCACAGGGGAAACTGTAGCAACTGCAAATGTTGGGTTTTTTTTGTTTTTTTTTTATATTAGATTGCCACAGATCATTAAGGCTCCATGCGCACTGGGCTGTTTAATAACGCTGGTAACATTAGCTGTGTAAAGTCACGTTGAGTTTTTTAGCATTTAGCAGCGTTTTGCTGTGGTTTTTTTTTTTACCAAAAAAAAAATTGGGGGGGGGCAAAAAACTCCAAAAACGCCGGTTTGCCACAATTTACTGCGATTTGACACATTTTGTTGCATTTTTCAGCGTTAAAGCATTTTTACAGCTACAAAATTCCTCTAGAAACCCGCTAGTCCTCGGTTCTTTTTCCAGCTAAAAAATGCCCCTGCCAAGAAACATTGATTACAGTCTATGTGTGCATGAAAACATAGGATAACATGCTGGATGGTTTACTGGCTGTAGAAAAGAATGTCAAAAGCCAAAAACAGCAGCTGTAAGAATGTCCAGTGTGCATGAAGACTAATATCCTGGGTGAGATGTACAAAATTTGATATATTCTCTATTTCATAAGTGTGGGGAAAAATAAGTCTGCTCTTAAAAAACTACATGGAGCATTTACTGGAGGAATATCACAGTACTGAGTTGAATTCCCCAAGTAAAAAACACTGGGTGTCCTAACCTGTTAGGGCCAAGCCAATCAAAATCCATCCTATACTGATCCAGACCTTGTACTTGGTATATTGCTCTTACTAATTATTGAACTGGATCAGATTTTTAGCTATTCTTGAATGTTCAGTTATTTGGTCACTATTAATTTATTATTTTGGGTTGGGTTGGACCAGGAAGCCCGATCACCATATGCATGGGTATTTCTACTTCTAAGCTTTGCATAGCATGAATACAAGAATGGCAGTGGCATGGAGACATATACTGTACATGACTGCTTACTTTAAAATATTTTTTTCAATGGAGTACATAATAAGTTGTAGATCTTATGGATTCAGGCACTCCTACTTATGTTATTAAATGCCTCGGATTTTGCTTTGCCATTTGTTTCCTGTACAAGGTTGGGTTTGTTTGCTTTTTGCTGCAGTTATGCTTAGAGAAGTTATGTATGAGTCAGTCTTAAGTCATTGACATAAGTATACATTTTCCAAACTACAAAAAACTCAAACTAAACCTTCTACACAAACCTTACTGTTCTAAAAACTGGACAAATGCATTGCCTGTGTAGTCTGTGCTACTATATTTGGGCCCTGAAGGAGCAGAGTATGCATCAGGGTCACCTTGAGGGTATTAACTTGCCCTCCAGAATATTTACCCCCCTTCCTGACCAGGCCATGTTTTGTGCTATGGCGCTGCATTACTTTAACTGGCAATTGCCCAGTTACGTAACTCTGTACATAAATTAAATTTGTCTTTTTTCCCATAAATAGAGTTTTCTTTCGGTGGTATTTGATTACCTCTGCAGTTTTTTATTTTTTGTGCTATAAACAAAAAAAGACCAATAGTTCTTGAAAAAAAATTGGTTTGACTTTTTGCTATGAAACATACCCAATAAAAAATTTTTTTTAAAAATCTAATTTTGACATAAAGTTAGGCCAAAATGTATTCTGCTACATGTCTTTGCCAAATAAAAATCCCAATATGTGTATATTATTTGGTTTATGTGAAATTTATAGCTTCTACAAATGGTGGTACATATACTGGAATTTTTTTTTACTTTATTTTATACTAGTAATGGCGACGATCAGCGACTTATAGTGGGACTGCGGCATTCTGACACTGGGTGGGAACTGACTAATTGCCACTGACATGCCCAGTGACACTAATACAGTGATGAGTGCTAATAATTTTAGCTATTCTTGAATGTTCAGTTATTTGGTCACTATTAATTTATTATTTTGGGTTGGGTTACAGTACTGACACTGTACTAATGACACTGGGCAGGAAAGGGTTAACATCTGGGGCGATCAAAAGGTTAACTGTGTGCAGTGTGTGTTTTACATTATGTGCTGTGCGCTGTTTTACAGCGGAGACATGCTGCTGTGCAGAGAAATGCAAAGCAGCATGTCCTTGCTGACACATAGGTCTTTCCCCTGTCAGCTTTCCCCAATGATCACCGAATGCCAGTGGGGAATCACCAGCTGGGACCCAGTGATTGACATGTCTAGCCGCAAACGTTGGCGTGCGTAGGGCGGCCCGTGCTCCCTACCTGGAAATGCAAATCACGTATATTTCTACCACAGGGTGGCAGTCAAGCAGTTAAAATGTCTGCTCAAATAGGTTGCGGAGCCAGCTGATTTCCCCTTTCTGGGAAATTAGCTGGCTATTTATTTACAAAACTGATGTAAAGAGGATGTAAAGAGGATATTGTGCTGTGCCCAAATAATAAATCTAAAAAATAAAAAAAACTAATGTAACATATTGCAGAGGTGGGCGGAGCCCCACACGGGTCATATTTAAAATAGAATTGACAGCTTGTTGGGGGGAGAAGATTCCCCGTTGGATGTCAAAGTAGGGGATCAGTGGGGAGCCGGTTGCCGATGCTTTCATAACATGTTACACCCTGAATATGGGTGTACATGTTATGAAAAGTGAACTTTCCTTTAATGTGCACCAACCAGGGCCCCAACAAGTCCGCAGAAGAGTTGTTTTCTTTTATCTTCTGAGGTGATATTAAAGGGGACATTAGCATCTGCATGTTCATCTTCTAGATAAACCCTGTTCTCAGACAACAAATTCTTGATAGCCTACTACAGCTCACTTTTGGGAAATATATGTTAGTGTGGGGATTGGTGTTTTTAATCCAGGTCCTGTGTTGGAGGGGTACTGTGTTTGATTATTTGACTGAGTATTACAGTGTGTCTAGCAGCTGTACACAATTGCTGTAGTTTTCACCATTTTCTTTGATCTCAATACAAACAAAATATTGGTTCACTCTTAATTGTGTGGTTACTATATGTTCCGAAGCTAGGGGATTCTCCTAGTTAAGGTTTCACGGTGGTGTCAGCAGGGGCTGTGCTTCCAAATCCGGTTCAGAACAGGTAGGGAACCCAAAAATATTCAGTGGCTCTAAGGGGGTAGTGCTACACTAATTAATAAATATAATAAACTGACAGCTACCTCTTTAACCACTTGCCTACCAGGCACTTATACCCCCTTCCTTACCAGGCCAATTTTCAGCTTTCAGCGCTGCCGCACTTTGATTGACAATTGCGCGGTCATGCAACATTGTACCCATATGAAATTTTGATCATTTTTTTCTCACAAATAGAGCTTTCTTTTGGTGGTATTTAATTGCCACTGGGCGCTTTACTTTTTGCGCTATAAATTAAAAAAAGTGCAAAAAATTTTGAAAAAAAAAAAAAAAAAAAGTTTATTTGTTTTTTTATAAAATTTTTCAAACAGGTATTTTTTCTCCTTCACTGATTTGCGTTGATGAGGCGGCACTGATGGGCACTGATAGGCGGCACTGATGGGCACTGATAGGCAGCACTAAAGGGCACTGATAGGCAGCACTAATGAGGTGGCACGGATAGGCGGCACTGATAGACAGCACTAATTAGGGGTCACGGATAGGCGGCACTGATATGCAGCACTGATAGGTGGCACTGATAGGTGACACTGATGATGGGTACTGATAGACGGCACTGACTGGCATCACTTCTGGGCACTGACTGGCGGCACTGACTGGCACAACCCCTGGGCACTGACTGGTGGCACTGACTGGCAGCACTGCTGGGCTGCACTGGTGGGTGGCACTGGTGGGCAGCACTGGTGGGTGGGCACAGGTGGGTGGCACTGGTGGGCACAGGTGGGTGGGCACAGGTGGGTGGCACTGCTGGGCACATCTAGGTGGCACCTCTGGGCACAGGTAGGTGGCACTGCAGAGTGGCACAGGTGGGGGCACTGCTGGGCACAGGTGGGGGCACTGCTGGGCACAGGTGGGGGCACTGCTGGGAATGGGTGGGCGGGGCTAGTGGGCGCACTGCTGGGCGGAACTTGCGGGTGTCACTGCTGGGCACCGATCATCAGGGCACTGATCATCAGTGCCCTGATGATCGGTGCCGATCCCCGCTCTGACAACTGCCGGTTCTCGGCAGTACTTTCCTCACGATCTGACAGCGTGAGGAAAGTGCAGCCGAGAACCGGCACTTGCATTTCCCTGTGATCAGCGTGTCATTGGACACCGCTGATCACGTGGTAAAAGGCCGGTGGGATCGGCCTTTCACCACATCACGTGATCAGCTGTGTCCGTAGGACACAGCGATCACGGAGATCGCCGGGTGCGCGCCCCCTGGGGCGCGCGCAGGAGAGCGCGTTCTGGGAGGACGTCATATGACGTCCACTCAGAACTGGCCGGCCGCGGTGAAGCCGTCATTCGGCTATGCGCGGTCGGCAAGAAGTTAAATAATACATCATAAAATATAGTCCATAAAACATCCAAAAGACCATGATTAAACATGCAAATGATGTGAAAGCCTCTGATGCGAAAGTAGGCGTGGAGCTGAGAGTTCTGATATAAAAGGGGGGCTGATGTGAAGGTGTGGAGAGGGGATACACAAGTGTCACAGGGTAAGATTAAAGGATAAAGGTGTGACAGTGAAGCAGGGGAACTGAAGACTCAAATTTCTTATTTTGGTTACCAGAAGAATACAAATATATTACAGATTATGATGTTTAAAGTGGTTCTTCACCCTGTAAACAAAAACTTAAGTCAGCAGCTACAAATACTTTACAGGCCCATATAAGGAAATTTGAAGTGTTGGGTTTACATACTCTTTAACCACATGACTGTGCTATAGCCTTATGATGGCTACAGCGTGGTTGTCTAGTTCTGGGAGGGCATCATATTACCTGGGGGGGCACCTGATGAGCTCTGTGATCGTTGTGTCTGAAAGTGCAGCCGTTAACCAGCAACTATATTTACATTGTGATAATCGGTGTCATTAGACACAGCTGATCACATGGTAAAAGGGCGCTGTAATTGGCCCTTTACCATGTCATGTGATCAGCTGTGTCTAATGACACAGATTATCACAATGTAAATATAGTTGCTGGTTAACGGCTGCACTTTCCTCACGCTGTCACAGCTTGAGGAAAGAGGAGAGCCATAATCGGCAAGTGTATTTACAAAATCAGAGGCAGTCCAGTGCAGACCACAGCCCCAACAGTGTTCATCAGTGCAGTCCCAACAGTATCAATCAATGCCTCCAGTCAGTGTACATCAGTGCTGCCAATCAGTGTCCATCAATGCCGCCAGTCATGGATTGTCAGTGCCTGCAGTCAGTGTTACCAATCAGTGACTTTCAGTGGCGCCTATCAGTGCCTCCTCGTCAGTGCCTATCAGTGCAGCCTCTTCCCTGCCACCTCATCAGTTCTGCCTCATCAGTGCAGCCAATCAGTGCAGCTTCATCAGCACACATCAGTAAAGGAAAAACAAATTACCTGTTTGCAAAATTTTATAACAGAAACTAAGGAAAATGTTTTTCTAAATTTTTGGTCTTTTTTCATTTGTTTAGCAAAAAATAAAAAAAAAAAACAAAAAAAAAAACAAAAAACAGTAATGATTAAATACCACCAAAAGAAAGCTCTATATGTCTCAAAAATGTTTAAAAATGTAATATGGGTACAGTGTTGCATGGTCGCGCAATAGGCATTCAAATTGCGACTGCACTGAAAGCTGAAAATTCGCCTGGGCAGGGAGGGGGTGAAAGTGCCTAAAGCAGGGACACAAAGAATAAGAGAGGGTAGAGGTTCATAAATATACTGTATCATCCAGTATATGGTTTCTGCCCAGTAACCAAAAGACATGCATACAAAAAAGAGGGGTTGTGAAAAATAATTCACGGAAAAAGTGGTTAGACAATAGGGTAAATACCCTGGTTCACCATCACCTCAGTATGAGATAATACACACAGACCTAAAATCACATAAAAAGCAACATCAAGACCGGTCTTAATATAAATGTGCTGCATACGCAATGACAGAAACCTGTCTAGTGCATTTGCAGCACCAACACATTGGTTACACCACCAGCAAGGGGTGTGTCAAAAAATTGTACCATCAGGTATAATACTGTACAACACTATGCTGATAACAGGCACCATATATTAATGAAATTACCCATAACCCAATCAAGGCAATGTGGGTGAAAACATTGGAAATGTAAAAGGGGGGTTCGGGTGCTCCTATAATGGCAGGATGATGGAATAATAGAAATGCAGCACCTATGTAGGGCACGAGTGAGTGGTGAACATGTACAGATTCACAGTGGACATACCCATATGTAAAGATGCAGAGTTATTCATGAAGGAATCACTGTTAGTATCCTTAGTGAGATAAAGATGATAAAGATGGCAGGGCCCTGCTTCACAGAGTTTCTTCACCGCAACGTGCGGACTATAAACCACCTTAATATAGATGATTGTATGAAGCCTGCTGGGTCCTCCGTCTCTTGTAATATATAATTGGTGCTTGCACCTGGATAGTGAATCATATTGTCCCCATCCTGCAATAAATTGATGACAAATGGACAGTTAATCAATATATTCTTGCTGATGTATGTGTAGATTTGCGAATAAACGCCTATTCATCTAGCTGTGTGACAGTTCACTCACCACCTGAGCCATAGGTGATACTTTCTTAAAGTTTCCTCCGTCTAGATTACCAGGCATGGTCCCGGGAACAGACGCTAAACATCGGGACTGTGACTGGTGGCTCCGTTCTCCCCGTGGTGCCTGTGCAGCCTTGCACAGCTCGTGGAACACAAATATGGCCGCTTCCCTGCTGCTCAGCGTGTATGGTGCCAATGCGTGTGACCGGAAGTGACGTATCTGACGTATGACGTCAACGCGTTTTGCCGATGGGTGTATCTCACTCGGCTTCGTCAGGACCAATGAGACATCTGCCTTTCAGCTTCCTATTTATGCTGGGCCCAGTACTGCCCATATATGCAAATCAGTTGCTGGCAATCATTCTCAATGGAAAAAAGAGATAATTACTTCGCAAGACATCTGGTCATATAACACAATTAAAAAAGTGGACACCTGGGCACATCGAGAGGGAGGAGAAATTTCCTACTTTCTTATGTCATTAAGAGGGATCAAATATTTGCCACCAAACCTCCCACAAGGTGGCGCTGCTAATTTATAATTCTACACACTTGACTATTTTTCTAAAAATACTTGGAGATCACATTCAATATTTAACCCTTTTGGGAATAGAGTATCAAGTTTATAAATCCAATATTTCTCACGTTTTAATAGTTCTCTATCAAAGTCACCTCTCCTCTGAGGGAAATTTAGTGCATAAATACCTTTCACTTTAGTACCCTCTAATTTGCCTCCATGGCATTTAGCATAATGCTGAGCTAAATTGCTTTCGGGGTCATTTGACCTATTATCTCTAAAGTGTTCACCTATTCATACCTTAAAGCTGCCTTTTAGTTTTACCAATATACATTTTTTTACATGGACAGGTCAACATATAAAGTACTCTGGCTGTGGAACAATTTATAAGACTTTGAATTTTAAAGTGAGCTCTGTTATTAGAATCAGAGAAAATGTCTGTACGATCCACAAATTTGACATTTTTCACACCCTATACAACCCTTTTGTACGTGACTTCAGCCATGTTGGTTGTTTTAATGGCTGATAGTCAGAGTGGATAAGAAGATCACCCAAATTTGGTGCTCTTCTTGCTACCATTAGAGGACGTTCACCTACAATTTTACCAAGATTAGGGCACTGTGTAAGGATCTTCCAATGGTTTTCTAATATTTGTTTAACACCCCCCCATTGTGCTCCAAACTGATTTATCATCCTAACTGGTTGTATAACTTGTTTCTCCTTCTCTTCCTTTTTCGGGGACAATAACGTCTTACGGTCAGTCTGATATGCCTGTTTTCTAGCTTTTCTAATCTGAGAGTGAGAATATCCCTGTTCCCTAAACCTTATATAGAGGTCCTGTGCCTCTATCCTAAAGTCGTTAATATTTGAACAGTTTCTTGGACACCTCAGAAACTGTCCAACTGGAATCCCGGTAATCAATGAACGTGGATGATAACTCCTGGCCTCTAGTAAGGTGTTAGCTGCAGTTAGTTTTCTGAAAGTTTTGGTGAGGAGCCTGTCACCTTCAAGTCTAAGTTCAAGGTCAAGGAAGGAAATACGCCTTTCATCAAAGACATATGTGAGTCTAATATTGAAGGAGTTTTGGTTTAACTCCTCCAGAAAAAGATTTAATTCCTCCAATGATCCCCTCCACATGAGGAAAACATCATCAATGTATCTCAACCAAATCTTAACATGTGCAAGAAACATTGGTGATCTATAGACAACCTGCTCTTCCCAGAAACCCAAGTGCAGTCAGGCATAGGCCAGGGCCCATGGTGCCCCATACTCATGCCCCTAATCTGTTGGTAAAACATTTTAGTAAAAAATTTTGTTGAATTGAAAAAAATTGTGTTGCAAAGCAATTTCCAGTAGCTCACTTATAAACTCATTTTGTCCCCCCATATTGGGATATGATTTATCGAGGAAAAATGAAGCTGATCTTAGTCCACATTCATGTGGAATAGATGTATATAATGACAACATCTATTCCAACCAAAATGGACTTCTCATCTATCTTCAGGATTTTCAATTTTGGCCAATACATCTTTAGTATCTCTAACATAGGAAGAAAGGTTAGGAACCATATCCTTGAGAAACAGGTCGACATATTTTCCCTTTTTCTCAAGGGGGCCCTGTATAGCAGAGACAATGGGCCTTCCTGGGGGATTTTTCAAATCCTTGTGTATTTTAGGAATAATATAGAAGGTAGGGTAATTGAACTCTTCTATCCTCAAATATTCAAACTCCTTTTTAGTGAGAAGGCCAGCCTCTTTGACCAGCATCAAAATAGAATATTGTTTTTTCTATTTCAATGGTTATTAATTTTTAAACAGTATAAAACAGAGGCAATAAAGCACGCCCACGCAGGGGCTATGAATTGCACAGATAAAAAAAAAACAAAATTAAAAAAAATTAAAAAAAAAAAGGAAAAAACAGTGCTCCAATGCCAACAGGGCAAAAGGTACGCCCACGCAGGGGCTGTCAATGGCACATAAGTTACAAACCATTAATGTAACTGACTATAACAACTAAAGGCAGCTGTCCAGTCACACTAAAAAAAAGAGAGAGAGAAAGGAAGAAAGAGGAAAAAAAAAAAAAAAAAAAAGGGCAAAGAGCAGGGGTCCAAGAGCGCCAATACCGAACGCCATTACATCCCCAGACCAGCCAGGGGAGTGTGGGAAAGGCATATTGCAACCACGGCTCCCATATTTCAAAAATTTACATTGGGAGTCGTTGCGGATACTTGACATCTGTTCATTGAGCATCATAGTGGTCATACGATCCCGCACCCCCTGAAGAGGGACAAACGGACTCTTCCAGGCCTGAGCAATTGTTCTAGTGGCCGATAAAAACAAATAGGAAGCCAACTTCTGCTGGTGAGCCAAGAGGCCCGTAATGGGGCAATGAAGCAAGGCATACTGAGCATCCCGGCGTATGGAGAGATTAAACAAGGTGAAAAGGAGGCCAAACACACGAGACCAAAAATGAAACAGTCTCGGGCATGACCACCAGATATGCAATACATCTCCACAATGGCCACAACCCCGAAAACATTGATCACTACAGGCAGGGTTAACCCGGGCCAACTGAGCCGAAACCCAATACCAACGAAACAATACCTTATAGGCTGCCTCCCGTGTGGTCGTATTAAATGAGCATTTAGCTATGAGTGACCAGGTCTTATTCCAGTCCTCCAGATCCACAGCCACTCCCAGGTCGCGCTCCCACTGAACAACATATGAAAGAGAAGTATGCGACGAGCGTCTGTTCAGAGCTGCATAAAGAAGGGATATAAGGCCCGGAGCGCCTGGACGCTGTTGACAAAGCTGTTCAAAGGCAGATTTCTGGTACGGGAAAGCAGAAGTGCCCCACAGCGAGAGCAGCCAGTGTCGCAATTGAAGGTATCGAAAGAATTCCGCCGAGGGGACATTCCGGGATTCCCGAAGAGAGTTCCAGGTGGGAAAGCACCGAAAAATCAAAATAGTGTCGCACCTGCGAAAAACCATTAGTCACCCA